AAAATAGTTAATATGGAAAATATATAGTTATGCTTTAGCTATCCATGCACAATGCAATCAATCAAGTGAGACTATATACCGCTAAAAGATTGTGTTCTAAACTGGCCCGTTTTACAGCGGATAAACTTTTTACAGAGACTGTCGCGCGACAACCACCTTAACTTGAATGTTGAGTCATAAAAGTACACTGTTACCGAATCATCCGATCTAATGAAATGAAAATGAAAGTTTATTTACAAAAGGGAAAGATGATACGGAAAATAACTATTCGGAAGCATATCACTAATTTATTAATAAAAATAGCTATATAATATGCGATATAAGAGCGATTGTCCACTTATTTTTTTTTTTTGGAATTGATGGGAAATAATTTCAGTTCTGAAGTTGTTAATTACAATAATTATAATTGTACAATCGATTGAATTGCGGGAAGGGACCACCGCAGAAAGTACTAATTACTGAAAATTCCAGGATAATATTGTCATTGAAAATTGCCGGAGGGTCGACATTATCCGGGGAGAACTCATTATGCAGGGAAAACAAAGCGAAATGGGTTTAGAGAGAAAATAGTTTTTAGATGAATTTTCAAACCAGAATATTCGGCTGAAAACTGTATGTGAAGTGAAAAGCTGTCAGCATTTGAAAATTATATCAAGTACTCCTAAAATAAGAGCAATATTCCATAAAAATTTCTTTGCAATCATCTTCAAAAAATCATCTGCTAGTCAATGATGATGCTAATTAAATTTGTTAGGGTCGAGTAAATTTGTGTATTCAGTTGACTCGAGTGATTTTATTTGGAAATAATAATCTTTGCTGTGAATTTTTAAAATGCGCACACCAGATTCACTTCCTGTCCGACCACTTTACCACTGGATATCACTTATAAATCGTTCGCAATATTTGAATTGAGGAATGTTTGACAATGATTTGCGCTATATTGTTCATCAACGCTCGTGAATTCATTCGCATTTTTTCATTTCTCTTCATTCATCCGGAACAGCTTCCTCTGCTCTCCTGATTTAATTTTTTTACTGAGATTATCTGAGCCAAACTTGCGATTTCTCCAAGAAAATTCGGTATTTCTTTCGGGTTTCTGAAGAAATCCGTAAAATAAATGACAAGTGATAGTTAAGATTCAGATCTAAACTGCAGATCTGAATGAATATTCAATGATTTAGTACTCAAGATACTTTTCCTGGACGTTATCAGGGCAATTGAAATCAATACTGATCCAGTATCACAAGAAGATCGCAAAGCTCGAGGAGGAGAGATACGACCTTGAGTTTGATGTCTCCAGCAAGGAATACGAGGTTCATTAACTGATTACCAGCCCGTATCATGACACTCTAACTCACACACTAGAACTTGTATTTTAGTTGAACTTAAATTATACGACTACAGCTGTACTCCACGTATCGCGCTAAAACCGTAAGCTAGAGTTCATTGAAAAACAAGTGTTCAAATTAACACGGAAATGTAGTTAGTAAATTGGATAATTGGTACAGAGCACTTGCTACATTGATTCGGCTAGCGAGTGGAGCACCTGGCAAATTCAAGGCAACAAACATCAACTAAATAATAACTATTGAATATTCAGGATAATGATAATTTCCCAGTTCATACTCCACCCAAAAAAAAAATACTCCAATCACACAAATGAATCTATTTGAATTGGGCTAAACAGAAGTTTTGAAAAAATAAGAACAAATTTTTTTTTTACTGAAAAAAGTTGATTGGATTTTTTTTTTGGGTGTGGGAGAGAGGAAATGAGTGTAGATAGTGGGAATTCAGGTAATAATCGTAAAGATAAATGGAAACTAATCAACAGATCAGATGACACTGGATCCATTTGCTCCAGTGAATTATTATTTTTCTAGCCGAGCTCCAGACAATCTGCACAGCCTATTGGCACAGATTGTACGCACTCGAGGGTGATAAATATGACCTCGAGAGGAAAAGTAGATTGAAAGATTTCGAGGTAACTAATAACTACGTCGAAACTGCTATTTTAGATGATAATAATGTTTTATATAGAAGAATTAAAAAAATAAATAAAACGGTTACTGACAAATAAACGAAGTGGCACAGCCTGAGAGTCGCGCTGATACATCACAAAGTTTTCACTAAAACTATTTTCGGTATAGAGAAAACTTTTTCACCACTTTGTTTTTATCACACAGATATTTTACGACGCAGCTTTATCCACTGCCATTATTTCTCACACTCTCGCACATAAGACGATAAATAAATTAATAAATATTATGGATTTTTATTATTTCTACGGTTCCACATCATTATACGGTTTTCGGCTATTTTCATTCAAATTGATATATTAATTATAATATAATTTTATTCATTATAGTTATATTATGTATAAAAAGGAATGGATAAAAAAAATATTGTATAAAATATTATATTTATTGTAAAATATATTTATTGTATATATACCACTCGAAATTTTGGCAAAAAGAATTTCTTTTGGATTTTCATCTTATGAATTGAATTAAAATTGGCGGAAACCGTATAATAACCTGAAGAGGAAGAAATAATGGAAATTTAAATACACAGAAAGAAAAATACGGTAAAAATTACCGAACTTTCAAGTATTCGTGGAGTGACCTTGGTTTTCGGGGAAAAATACTGTAAGTTCCGTAAAAATTTTCGTAGCGAGCAGAAATTTTGACGAAACTTTCAGGACAATTTTACGGTACCTCCAGGACTTTTCCCGAAAAGCAAGGTCACCCAACGAATACGTGAAAGTTCTGTAATTTTTTCGGTATTTTTATCTCCGTTAATAAACGGTTGGAGTAATAATAATGAAAAATCCTTCGAATAAATTCTGGCACGTCCTGGGCTGCCGTCTACTGGTAAAATCATTTGAAAAAATGTAGAAAAGGATGGAATACTGGGAAATTCTGGTGATTGGAATAATTGGATTTGGGGATGAATTTTAGCGCGTGGGACAACACGAATGCACCAGAATGCACTACTCTGTGAGAAATTGGTTTTTTGTTGTAATTTTTTTTTTTATTTTGAAAATTGTCACGAATAAGTGTTTGATGGTTAATGGTCTTCTTGTAGAGGACTTGAAGGAGCTTTGCCAAGAGTATTATGCACGCGTCTACGCGTGTGAGGGTCAGAAGTGGGATTTGGAGCGTGAAGTACGGAAAAGGGACTATGAGGTACAATATCAACCCAATATGAACAATCGAACACCCCAACACCTCCCCCTGGAAAAACAAAATCCAAAATGTTGACCTGTTCAAAAAAAACACGTAAATACTTCAGAAAAACGGATTTTTCAAATTTCTTATAAAAAATGTTGGACATTCATCTTATAAATTTGATTTATTATTATTATTTTATTATTATTTATTAAATTGATTTCAACTACTTTTTAAAAATAAAATCCCTTTATTTCCGCTCGGTTTGACGGACAATTTGGAATGTCCGGACAATTGAATTCTCCCGATCCTGTGTTCGATGAGTTCCTCTCAATCGATAGTTTTCTTTATTTTTTATTTATTGGAATTATCCCCTGACATCGAGGGGATGACTATAAAAATGGGAAAGTGGGATTTTCTCAAGTGAAAGACGTGTAAAATTTCTATTCCATCTTTACAAAATTTATCAAGTAAATTATTGATTAATTAACAATAAAAAAATCTCGGGGTCAATGAGAAAACGATGTGATTGACTTGAGAATTTTCCAATTTTATGGAACGGACGATGAAAATAATAAACAATAAAAGCGGATAGAAAAATGAATGAAGATTAAATAATAAATGTTAAAAATCGGGATGTAAAAGTTAGTGCAGTTGGTGTGTGTTTGTGAAAACGGTGCAAAATCATTCACTAGATTTACTCTTCCTGTACATATTGCATTCCCATTATTATCATAACAATCTCCCCAAACCTTTGTTAAATAAAGAAAATAATAAAAGAAACTCCCAGCTAATATTTGCATGGCTATTATTATCCCCTACAATGCTTGGTTTTGGTTTCCTAGATACACAATGTCAACTCCATTGTTGATAATACCGTACATTAAATCATCTCTGTGTAAATTTTAATCCTGTGATGGTAGAAAATTCTAATACACCAGTTGTATACATGTGTCTCTATTAATTGACGTTATTTTGTTAAGTGTTTGTGTTTTGTAATATTCATTTACAAAACGACGAGCCCCTTTTACGTACTTTCGCGCCTCGTTATGAAACCCTGTCCCAACTTTTGGCGCTCTCACAAAGACCGATGTATTCCCTCGTCGATGTGTGTGTGTGTGTGCATAAAAGACAAATATGAAGAGATTACACTAATTGCAGTGTTTGTCGATAATTTGTCACCAGTCGTTATCAATGCGCTGAGAAAAAATCGTAGAAATCCAAGATTTTCCCTAAATACCACAACACCCCCCTAAGCCCATCCCCCCCGAATTTCAACTTTAATTATTTAATTATTTAATTATTTAATTATTTAATCATAAAAATTGAGTATGAGAATTCTTGAATGTCTATTTTTTTTTCTATGCGCAGATCGCGTGTCTAAAAGCATAAGAAAGATTTTCGTATTTCCATCGATTTTTTGTCAATTTCCGGTGGAAATACTGAATTTTTGAGAGGCAAAGGGTCGTATGTACTGGCGGATATGACCTTTCGCTTTTGGACACGCAGATTTTTTGAGTCGGATATGTTTCCGGTAATTACCGATGCAATTTGTTGATTCCCGATTGCCTTCACATGTGGCTGAAGATTTTGCACCGACCCACATACCAGCCAGTAATCTACGAGTCATATCCTTTCATTTAATTATTCATTGCGCACAGCTGCGAATATCAAGAAACTAAGATTGTGTGATTTTTTTCCCCTTGGAATGCGATTAGATGGTGTGTGCACTGAAAGGAGTTGTGAATGGGTTCATAATTGTGAATTTATAATAGTTAATTATAAATCAACAATTGTAAGTTAGCAATTATGACAATAATTTAAACTCTGGAGACGTATCCAGATTATTACAATGAATAACGATTGTTTAATAGGAGTTGCGGATATTTCCGGAGCCTTGAAGATCGTCAAGACGATAAATTGTTTAATAAATATTTATTGCTTTTTATTATCACGCGAGTGACGCAAATGCATTACATTACTGCTTCAATTGTTCATTTTTCAAGATAATAGAGTAATTTCCCTCTTTGATAATTGTTTTCGCTTTTGGATTTTTGTTTGTCATCGAAAATTGCGATTTCAAATTTAAATGCTTCAATATTTGCTTCTAAATAATTTCTAAATTGTATTATTACACGTGTGGATTAATCTCTTTAAAAAATCGTTTATTCTAGAAAATCGAGTGATAAATTTCAGTGAAAATAAAAATCTATTGTTTTTTTCTGTGAAGTAGTTTCATGAGAAAATTAATTCTCCATACGTGAATAATTGCAATAAAATGTATCTAATGTGTAATGATATTTCCGTACAATTACCATAATTAATAAATCAATTAATCCCTTCGATCACCTCTAGATTACCGAACTGAACAGCCAAGTGAACGACCTTCGAGGAAAATTGTACGTAAAATCCAATCACCCCTCAATACGTTATTTCTCTCCCTACATTATATTCTGAATTGAATTTCTAGCATGAAGCCAACCCTGAAAAAAGTCTCCAAATATGAAAATAAGTTCGCCAAGCTCCAGAAGAAGGCGGCGGAATTCAATTTCAGAAATCAGTTGAAGCAGGTTAAAAAGAAGGAATTCACCCTCGAGGAGGAGGACAAGGAGGTAAATAGACGTATTTATATAATTTAAACAAATGAATGCACCAGAAACCCACGATATCAGCAGAATCAAAGGGCTGCAATATTCAAATATTGGAAATGCCCGGATCCAACTGTAAACATTCTCTACACATTCTCTAAACCGTAACGCGAAATTGTTTACCTCGAAACTGTATGTGAAATATTTTTATTCTGACGCAATGGATATTTGTTTTCCCCTTCGAATTTATCTAGTCTCAATTTTCCATTTCCAAACGAAATTCTCATTTTGTTTTTATTGGAACATCAGAATTTTTTCATTGGAAATATTAGTATATTGGAATTTCAAGAGAAAAAATAGATGTCTCCAGTAATTTGGAATTGCACGTGTGGAATCTCTAAATATTTCTTTTAGCGTATTTTTTAAAATAAATATGATAAACGACTGACACCAGGCGTGACAAGGTGAGAAATGTGGGAGATGCATTACAATTTTTTCAGCCTGTACTGACGTATAAAATAAAATTTTATGACGCCCGAGATAACTGAAACATCATCGAAGAGTATTTCACAATCAGATGACGATAATGAAGTCAATAATTCAATTGTAATGGAGACGGAGACTTTTTATTACCCCATTGTCCCTCTCTTTTTACAGAAATTTATTCATAAATTACTGATAGGTTTACGAATGCTGATTTATACTCATGTAGTTGTCGTGTCTCGTGGCTTCATGGCAGATAAATAATTGATGACTTTTTAATACCTCAAACAATGTAATGAATCAGAAAAATCAAAGACAGTTTGATGGAGTCAGGAGAATAAATGTCTCAATACCGATATAAATCATAAAATTAATCATCACGTAATGATTTATTTAATGAGTATTAATGACTTTTTCAATATAAATCATAAACATTTTGGCACGTGAATTTGTAAGATAAGATGAAAGTATTTTCGTTGATTTTTTAAATCTTCCGTAAATTATTGAGCAGTTCAATGAGTTATGACAGAGAGATCCTTTCATTGTAGAATTGTTATTGCAAATACGTGAAGATCGGTATTATGCTTAACCAATCGTTCATGTCTTATCAACTAATGTCTTACTCTTGCCTTGTTTGCAGAATGCGTCAAAAGATAAGGTAAAAAGTTGACTGACGTCTGAGACAAGACAAAAAAAAACAAATCAAAAGAGAAATTACCTAATTTCTAACTAATGAATTTTAATCTAATATCAGTTGATTTTCTTAGTCTAGCATCATGCTGCCCTAAAAATGACAAATGGAAAATCCACATGATCAATTCCTTAGCAACTAGATACTTTATATGATAGAGTAGTTGACCTGTTGATGCAAAAAGCATCGCAGGAATAATTATCTACTAAATGTTTGTTTGTGTTCTAATACAAAACTATTATCTAAAATCTTCGGACTGCGAGTGCAAGATCAATCATTCAATGGAATTGATTCTGGATTTTTATGAATTTTACAGAAAAAGCCGGACTGGTCGAAGAAGGGCGACGAAAAGAAGGTAAAGGAGGAGGAGGTCGAGGCATGAAACCCATAAGTGTAACCGGAAGTTCCAAGCACAACGTCCCAATCAACAACTTATTTTTTCTATGTTAATTTTATCAAGCAACGAAAACCCGCCCACAGCAGAACGAATTAATGATCCTATTATCCTCCCCTGTTACCGAAAATCCAAGGATAATTATCTCACCACCAAATCATTTGCCGAGTTCGTTAGTTGTTTTGTGTTCGTGATCCCTCATTGATCAAATTTGTGGAGAAATATGGATTTACCATGTAATTTAACCTGTTTCTTATTAATTATGATAATGATGAACCAATTAATGTTGTGAATTCACAATGAAGGAAGTTCTAATAGCTCTAATTATTGTGACCAATATTTTGTAAAATCTCGATAAATTTGTGTTGCGCTTTTTCCAGATGTAATAAATCATCCGAAAGTGATGGATTTTCATTTTTTTTGTCATGATTTCCGATTCTACGATTTTATTCGATTTCTTTTTTAATAGTGGAATCAAATTGAGATTGAGGTGATGTTCAACTGCAAATATTGAAAAGAATTTTAATGAGTGGAAGAATTACTCAAGTACTTGAACATCGAGTACCAGAAACTTTCGTAAGATCTCACTGAATTCGTGATCTTATTTTTCGAATAATTTCATTCCTCTCAGAATAAATTGGTTCGATCGCTGAACGGCACCATAATAAAGCGATAACAAGATCATCTCTCCCATCTCATCCAAAACGAGATCAAAATAATTAGTACTCGATAAAAAAAAAGTGCAAAGACATTTTTTTCCGCGTAATTCCGGTAAGAAGTTGTAAACCAGGACAAGTGCATTTTTTTGAGACTAGTTTTCAGCGAATATCTCGGAATTGAAGGAAGATGACGATTTTTTCATATAAACATTATTTATAGAGAAAGATGAGATCTGTAAAAAAGGTAATTACGAGAGTGTCGCTATTCCCCTTCAATCCCGAGATATTGGGGAAAAACTTATCTTGAAAAAATATTCACTTGCTGTAGTTTACCATTTAGCCACCGAATTAACTTCTCCCCGGTGAATAAAAAAAAAATCCCATCAATTATTAGCCACACAACAGCATGAAATTTGGTGTTTCTTTTCCCAGAGGGAATTCATCCCAACGAATCCATAAATTTTCTCACCCATAAATCCACAAAGTGGTAAAAAAATAATAACGCATGGATGACATTCGAACAGAGTTCGATGAAAGTGAAATTTAATTGCAGGAAATGTGATTCCACACGGGCGCTACGGATCGGTAGGTATGTTACTAACGAGTTTTCGCTTAATAACACTTTGCTATCCGATTTCGCTTGATTACGAGCCTTCGACACGTTGGCTACAATTGTATAAACATATGGCCGTATTTTGCTTTATTGCTGCTGTTAAACGTTTCGTTGGCGAACCAACGCAGTTTTTTTTTAGATTAAAAATGTAACGAGGGATTATTTATAACAGGATTAATTGTCGTTTGAACTGGAATTGTTTTCGCGCGGGGGAAAATCATTTATCCCGGGATTTATCAGAAATCCGATAGATCCTTTTTCATTATCTCGATTCAATTAATTTCAATACCCTTTTTCATGCATTCATTTATGCAAACAATGATAAAAAACAAATATTCACCCCATTAGAATTTGATATTCATTATTCAGTCAATTTTTCAGCTGCGAATTCCACATAAATGAAGCTATTGCTGTAAATATAATTACGATGAGAAACATTATACTGGATATAATTGTAATTGGTTAGTGTTTGTTCTGCTCTCCAACAAAATCCAACTGAAACCGCTACTATGAACTAATTCGAAAACATAATTAACTTGAGTACGCGATGCGAAGTAAATTCGTCAATTTAATTAAGGAAAATAATTATCCCTCAACCCAATTTACCCATTCAATGACATATCGTTAATTGAACCGGAAATATCAATGGAATTAAATGGCTGCCTCCCCTGAAATTCAAACACCCATTGAATTCATCCATTTCGACAGCACTTTTTTGCCCCGAAGCGTCAACAATTCATGATACCAATATATAAAAGAGTTCTGTCTGTGTCTAGACGCTTTCGCGTCCTAATTACCGGTTGTGGGTTTTAAATCACTGACATCCGCGCGTTGATCCCACCACAGTGGGCGGATAATGACACGTAATTCGCTCTCAGAGATCCGCGATTACACTTGAGATTGTCGTTTTTACGGCAGAGGATGGCAGTCGAATATGTAAATATGTTGCAAACATGGTGATTGCTGACGGCTCCTTGACTTTCTCATGTACCTCTGCCGATCTATCGAATAAATTCGCAGGAAAATTCCCAAAAACAACAGTAAACTGTCCGATGAAAAAACTCATTATCCCGATAAACATTATCTCCATGAAAATTATGGAAATTCCCCCCAGAGTCCATAAGGGAATTTGTGAAAAAGAAATTGAAGCAATTGATTTTTTAAAGAATCAACAATGAAAATCGTGAGGGGAAATTCGCCTGGTAGAATTCCATTTCTACGAGCTATAGAAATTTCTCGTGAATGGCTCTCCATCGCAATCAAGCGGAATGTGCTTGCAGTTTGTATTTGTCCTCGGGTGCATTGAAGATGACTTCAATAATGGATCATTATGCGCAGAAGTTGGAGGAGCTAGCAGCGGCAGCTCCTGAAATAGCAACACCAACCCCAGATTTAACGGCAACTTCTGTCACGGAAACTGTATCGACATCAGCTGTATCGACGCCTGCACCCACACCATCTCCAATACCTCCTGAAGTTCCACCAGCACCAACGCCTGAGCCACCATCACCTGCACCATCACCTGCACCCCCTGCTGATGGTGAAGGTATTGTCATCGTTTAAATTCCCAGAAAAAATCAAGAGAGATAAATCCCGGGGAGAAATTCTCCATTTATCTTCACCTCGTAGATCATCCGCTCTGATTAATTTGTTGATTGATATATATATTTTCTCAATGCGTTAATTAAATTTTCCAGCACCATCAGGCGATACTCCAGCTGATGGTGCGACTGAAGGTTGATTACTCATTATGAATTTATTCATTCAATTATTTGGAATTAATATCGGGTTGTAATGTGGATTGTTATGGTTTAGCCACAGCGGAAGGACAACCCGGTGAACCTCCAGCTGATGGTGCACCACCGACGGAAGAGACAGCTCCTACCGGTAATTATCAAAATGCCAGAGCTGTTTAGTGGTTCACTCATTTTAATCTGAATAATTTATGTTTATGTGTGAACGTTAATTCAAACCATGCCCTTCTATCATTTCATTAAAAATTCATTCTCTCGCAATGAACTTTCTACTTGTCCCCTAATGATCAGAAAATAATTTTCTGATGTAATTTCAGGCTGTGGCGGTGGTGTAGGCGGATGCAGATGCGGGGACTTCTGTCAATGTTGTGTTGGTGGATGTGCAGGTAAAATAGTAACTAAAAAATAAAATATCCTGATGTCATTTGATTATTCAATATCGTTAAGCATAAATTATTTTAATCAGGTAAAAGTGCGATTGTAGCAGCTTTGACACCGGTTCCCCCGTCGCCAGCTCCATCTCCACTTCCTCCAGCAGAGGGTGGAGAGACAGCACCAGCAGAAGGTGCACCTCCAGCAGATGCTCCAGCCCCTGAGGGTGAGGCTCCAGCAGCACCTCCAGCTGAGCCAGCGACCGTTGACGGTATGTTTCACGTTTTAATCACAGAACATCTAGTAAATTCTCGGAATTATTAATGACGTGAGAATTGCAATTGCATATCACAGCGCCTGCCTCGTAATTTCGCAATCATAAAGTTGGCAGTCATCTCTCTGGAGGATTTAACAATCTGCACTGGCCCTTATATCAGCCCGAGGAGTTGTGATGATGTGTGCCAACTGGACCCACTGATGTATCGCCGTAGATTCCACTCTAATTTCTTGGACGTTACTCGGCGTTTTGTCATCCTCTGGCGCGCAATCCCCTTACAACGATTATTCAATATACGGGATTATTGTTGTGTAAATGTCAGAGCAATGTTGACGTATGTCATGTGCTTGTGTAATACCATCGATACCTCCAGCATCATCAAAGTATTGACGCTGTCCATTGGGGAATGCAAATTAAATTGAAACATATAATCACGAGCTAAACTCCATTATTATTTTCAATAAACAATATCGACAAGATAAATATTTTTTTATATCAAAGTTCTCAACTGTAGAACTCTCCCATCACTTCCACTCTCTGATTTTCAGAAAAATATTCTCCAAAAATCCACAATGGAATCGAATTGTCCTTCGGTGTCCAGTGATGCGAGTGAATCAGTCGCATATTTTATTTTTCAAAAATGACAATGGTAACGACGTTCCCATTCAGAACTAGTTATTTGAGGTTCAACTTTTTTCAACCAGCGGATAAAATAGTCCATCAGCGAAATTTGAAACGGTGTACTCGACACTGGCACACATGGTGTATTTTCATTTCCACATTTAGCTTTTCTCCTGACTGAAGAAACGGAAATCCAGAAACCCGAGGATTGCATGGTTTATTGCTGGATTTGCGACAGGTATATTTCGAGATAAACACCAGGCTTGCATCTACCCAGGAGAAGAGTTTCACAGCAGTCAGTCGGCAAATGCGGAGGCGCGCTCGTTAAAAATATTACGACTGGCTATTCAATATCCCCAGGTATTCCATTATGCTTTTCTTCCATATTTTTATCTCCTCTGTCGCGTCACCTTGTTCCTATCCTATAACGCACGAGCTGTAATTGTTATGCATAGAGGAAAAAAGAGAAAACCCTGGACAATAATAAAAATAAACAACCTGAAACAACGACATACGAAATAAAATAGACCATAAAACACGGATTACGATCTTCCCAACGACCCAGAAAATTCCATGCATCACCGAAAATTGGATAATATAACGTACCGATATTTTATCCTATATTGTCATGATGTATCCACTCGTTTTCCTAGGAAATCACATTTTTCTCAGAGTAATTAACCAGCACATCGATAATTTCGTTCAGCTATTCTCGAAAAATAATGAGTGATTTTAATGAAAAGACATTTTTCATAATCACTGAACACATAACCCCACTGAATTATTTGAATACTGATTAACAGTAATTAGTTGTAACGATTGTCATTGATTGAAAATTCGATTATTAACTCAATTGTTTATTTTGAGTAATTCCATAAGATATTTCACTTTTATAAAAACCACAAACTGAAATTGTTGGAAAATTATTGTGCGTTCACTCCTTTTCGGTGTTTACTTTTTTCTCTGACTCCAATAAAAAAAAAAACAATAATGCTCTTCAGTGATTCCCGACGAACTACAAATAATTCTCACAATTACCGATCTCATAACCTATCTAAATTATTAAGATATAAACTAATTCAAGTAATCATTATTGCCAAAAAAATTATTATTATTAATTATTAATCAATAACAATTATTATTAATCATTGGTTAAAAATTAGAAGATCAATTTAACGTAGTGAATCGATAAATTAATTAATCAAATAGATTAAAAAATGCGAAATATTAAAAAATAATGAATAAATTATCGATGAGAAATTCAATTATTAAATCAATTGTTTAATTCACGTAGTTTAGTTTAATTCAGGATATTTATTAAAAACCAAAAACGTAAATCGTTCTAATAAATAATTTATTTATGTGCCTTTTTACCGACTCTATGACACAAACTCTAGAAATCGACGCGCGCACCCATTGACACCGACAAAGTCTTGGGCTTCCCGTGCTTTTGCCTTCAGTTTAGCTTCGGCGCTCATGACGAACGGATCGTTGTAACCCGTCGTGTTCTCTTGTTTATTTACCCGTGCACCGGCAAATTGGCGCGTTGTTTACATCCCGAGGAAAAATTCCAAAACATTTCCACCCTTGCACAATTTCTCCCAAACCGTGTGAATTAATTCTCAGTGCATGACAAGTATTTAAATTATTTTCACTAGTCGACCTTCAAGTGACACTCCGAAATAAAGTAAGAGTAAATATTTGAGGAGTAAATAAAAGAAGTATTGGAGTGATAAGTGAAATATTTGGATCGGAGTAACGGGTTTTGACAGTTCGAGAGGGGTAAGTGAATTTAGTAAGAACTTTTATCTGTTATTGAAGTGTTCTGGATGTCTTCTGCGTTTTCTTCCGGTATTTTATCACCCAGTCACACCGGTTGGCAGATCTTGTGGGCAGACATCGATGCCTTTCCCCCTGGAATGCTCTGGATAATAATAAAAAAAGAACATTGTGAAAAAAAAGATAGTGTGGATGACGCTTGGCGATTCTTCTCGCCTTGATTCATATGTCACGCCATTTGTTCCTCCGCAAATGGACTCCTTTTATTTTCTCTTTCTCACTGCGATGACGGATTTATGGATGTGTAATATCTTGTGTTGCATCCACCTTTGGAATGATAACGCCCTCGTGTTTCCTGGGGGGAGAATTATTTCCTTCTTGCAGTATTACATTTTTTTTTCTTTCACTTCTGTTGTTTTTCGAGGGGATTTCTCGCAATCCTGGGATTTATGGGGCTTTGATGCCTATCGAGATTTTTACTCGATTGATTCCACGGGAATTGCAGAACTTTTTGCCGAATTTTTTGCAAAATTTTTGGAAATATCACGAAAATTTTGCACGAACATTTTTTCCTAGTTTCCATAAATTTGGGAGATATCGTCTAGAGTGAAGAAAAAGTTTTCATAGATCTTGAAAGTTTGGGTTTTGAATAGAGGTATCGAGAAATTTATACTGAGCACAAGAAATTTGTTCTCTGATACAATTTCGATGGAATTGAATTGAGTGAATGGAGGAATAGGAGAAATAGTTCGTCTGAAAGATCAAAGGAGATATAGTTTTAGAATTGTCCAACAATTTTCCATATTTTTTCCTGAAGTTTTCCAGTGACTCATATCGATTGACAATTTCGGGATAATTTTGTCATTGCAGAAAGTCAAAAATTCTTTACAAACCTATCCCACGTCATTGGTACAAGTGATGGTGACAGTTTTATGGCATTGCCACAACAAACATTTCGTACTAACAGATGACGTATCCTGTGCCCACATTTCTATCCGTAAACTTGAACGTTGACAATGTCGGATTTTATTTTTGACCTGAATAATGACGCACATCTTGAGCACACAGTACGGAGATTGTACACCGAATAAAAATCCTTGCGTAATTCGCCTAAAAATAAATGAATTTTTCATCGACATTGCCATCGAGACAAGAAAACCCCCGGTTTTCCATAAGAAAATTAAAAAGATATGTAGGCTATGTTTATTTTTATTCCCCGTGTGGGTTAAAATGTGTTTCAACGTCGGGGTAAAGATAGAAAAAAAAAAGAAATTACCCCAACCCTCGAGAGAATCCCCTGTCTGGGGATTATAAGGCGAGGAGATGACATAGCAAACTAACCTACATCAACGGGCATTGAACCAACTAATGAAAACATTAAAATTAAAAGGATCTTCCCCTGGGACTATTCTCCTTCCCGGTAATCCTTTTCCATAACTTTGAATTTTCCATCTGAAAACTTCATCCAACCTCTTAAGAAATAACCGCTGAAGAATCCCAGATAATTACTTTCAACGAGAGAGTGAGGATGAGATTAAAAAAATGCAAAATGTCAAAAAGATAGACAAGCATAATTTTCCTTTTTTTATCAACACTCTCGAACCAACTTTTATGGTAGAATTTGCTACGTCGACCACTTTCCTCATTATCCTCAGTAATGAAATGAGAGTTTAACCGAGATGACGTACCGAAGCGAGTAATTAAATCTCAGTTTGTCAAGGCATTTTCCGAGGTATTCATATACATTCGGAGACAAAGAAAATTCACGAAAGGCGTGTCTCATTAAAAAATTGTTCAAGTTTAGTTTTTGTTTTGTTTTTGCTATTTTTCTGCTGGAAATTATTATCGAAGATACTATTTAATTCCTTACCAATTCATTCTTAATTACTCTATTTAGTGAAGAATCTACGGAAATATAGTCTTGACTGTGTGAAAAAATTTTCATAATCTTCAATTAGTTTCTCTGCAGTGGAGAAATTGTTAAAAAATTGTTGAACGTTTGGATTTTTTTTTGTGGAAAATTTCAACTCTCCGGTAAATTGTTGGAAAGGATTAACACGCGATAGATTCCAAGTTTCGGATGGAATGAATTTGTCAACTGATTGGGTTCGACGTTATTGCTATGGCTGATTTATCGTTACATGGACAATTGTCTATGTATTGAGAGTCACATATGTGTCATGAACGGACTCTGCGGTCCAGGTTGTCACGAACCTAGTCGTCATGCAACTGAGGCCGATAATCTATTCAAAATAATACACTATTACTCCACCATTGTCTATTAATTTCATTGTAATGCGAATCTTTCCCCCGTTCCATCGATAAATTATCATAATCCATTAGAATTTTCCCACGTGGAAAAATTAACAATCCAAAAAGTCTTCAAAAATCCCTCAAATTTCCCCAATTCACGGATTGATTTTCTCTTCAAAACGATTTGCAACATTTTTTTTCAAAATCTTCTGCCAGTTCCCGATTGATCAATAAATAATTGAACTTATCGATGACAAATTGATTCTTCAATTAAATAGTAGTTAATTTTTAAATTTATTGAAGAATGCATGGAAAATGATAGTAAATATGCGGAAAAGTCTCGACAATTTTCAATAATTTCTTCTACAATAAAATATTAACAAACTGGAAAAAAATGAATGATGGAAGGAGGAATTTTATTCCGCCATCTCTGGCGTTCCATTTTTCAACTGCAAATAAAAATCTCCACATCCTCGTACCGCCCCATCCACCTATATATCTTCTGTTACTTCAAATTACATATATACGCTCCGATTAGTATACGAACAGCGAGTGAAATTGCGTTTTTCACGGCCTAGAATTCACATGCACATAAGCCTCATGCATACCACAAATGAATTTGGACGAAAGCCCATTGTCTCCTCGGTTTGATAATCATTTATGAACAGTTAAATATTTTTTCATCCCATGTCACATATTCACTTCCAATTGTAATCATCATTAATTGAAAATTATGGTAATGCATGTGTTGTAATTTTCACATTCCCTCATTTTATTGTTTTCA